TGTAACGGGTTTTTTCCTGGGGTGAGAAGGAAATCTAATGTAACATTTCAAGGCTTAGTGAGCATAACCAAATCAAAGGAACCAAACTTTTGGATAAAGAACTTGCAAACGCAAACTATTTTTAAAAACCAGAGATCAACATAGTAACACCATAATATCCAAACAACGACAAAGGTTTCTACTAAGCACCAACGAGTTGCTTTTAAAACAGATTACCAAAAAGTCATAATAGCAAAAAAGAAACAAGACTTGATTTTTGATTCCATGATTGCTTCAAAATCAATCTCCCTTTCTCCTGAAAGAGCATCCTTCGGTGAGCCTCGCCTTTCCTCCTGTAGGCTGGCAGAGAACCGTCTGGCAGTTTCCGCACACAACAACGGTCTGCGAGTGACTGAACACAGTCGTGCTGCAATACCAAAACACAGACCCCCATAAGATTATGTTGTTGTTATTACATCTATGTAATATGTTGAAAGAAAAATGTTTTGAAAGTGCTTACATGTTGAAGCATCCTTGGCATTTCACATCCTACAATATAATAAGAGACAACAAAGAGTAAATGAGATAGTCAGATTCAAAGTTGTAATTAAACATTTCTCAGAGCTCTAAACCACATCATCGATAGCTCAACAACAAAAACAAAAACCAAGCAGAAGATGAAACACAGAGGTTCATGGGATAATCAATTTAGGTTAGCAGACATTTACAACTCAGGACAGATGGGAAATGGAGTCGAATTCCTTACCACATTGCAAATGGTTAAACATCAAAATCAATAACCAGACACTAAATGGTGGTAATTAGATACTCAAAACTTTAAGCAATTGGTTCATGAGAAAATCGAATGACATTTCACAATTCTAGGCATAGTGTTTATTCGAAATGGTTTGAAATGAGTACCATGAAGAAGGAGTTTGGGGATTGAACAAGACGCTTGAGCTTGTGCTTGGTCTTCTCAAGCGCTGCTGGTGGGTTAAGCAGATCGATATCATTCTGAAGAACCTGTTCTCCACATCAAGCAAAATAAGATTCCACAAATCAGCTTTCATTGGACAAACGATATCACCAAACCAAATAACCTAATCAGCTGATTCAAGTTTTGTAATAGGATTTCGCATGATGAGATCAAACAAGAACTAACACAGAGAGAGAAACATAATCTACCTTGTAACCCCAAAATTCACTAACGGATTCATATTTCTATAGATAAATCAAATCAGGATGAAGAGTGGAGAGATCTAGACGAGAATGAAGAGCGAGAACTAACCATCTTCGCAAGAATCTGAAGAGACGGCTAAGCAAGCAGCAACGGCAGACGTTTGTTTGTGCAACTTCTAACACAGTAAACAACATTTTTCACAGCAATTATTTCATCTATGATTTGACATTCAATGATAACAATACAGATTATAGTCAATTTTTGAAAAGTGCTTATACACTGAAAATCACGAATATAATTATTCAAATTGGCTCATTTTTAAAAACGTTTTAAAACGATAACAAGAAAATACAAGATAAATTTTGAAAAGTATGGTGTATGTGCAATTGAGTCTAGTTTGCATTTGTGAAGGAAGTTGGTAGGATACTCCTCAAGCTCACAAGCAAGAAAATGATAATAAGAAAAATCAGTAAAGAAAGTTTCAAATAAATATTAAGGTTCGTCCCACGTTGGCGGAATATTTTTTATAATTATTTATGTTTTCAATTCCTATTTTATATGTATACCACCACCTCTGTATATTTATAAGCTACACCTACCTACAAAGGTCTGTGTAGTTAGCATTTTGACCACTTTTTCAACATGTATTTAAACTTATGTCAACATTAAGTCCTTATGTCAACATTGTTTATCTATTTCTTCGACAAGCTTTATGATCACAAATCTTTAAAATGCCAACTACCCATTGGTTGCAAAGAAATAATTATTATGAAAAGACAGAAAAAAGAAGACATCACCAAGAAGGCAAGTTATTCACTAATTAATCATGAAATTTAATTTTCGGAAGTATTGAAAAGGTGAAATTTGTTCTCTCGATATGCTTTTTCAAGAAATGAAAAGCCAATACAAAAGAAAAATACGCATAACCATTTCCATTCATAAGACATTGTCACATTGATATTCGTTGTTCAAATGTATATGACTTTCGAGTGTATTAACTGGTATTAAGAGTATATATCTTGTATTATTTTGATTAGTAAATATCCATTTTGTTATCACCAACATCTATTATATGGATTTCAATTCAAACAATCTAAATATATTCATTTTCGACGACAATAAATCGGTGTAAACTATGTAAAATTTCAGTTTTGTTTGTTTGTGTCTCCCTTTATCTCATTTCAAGTGGAGCACAACAAAGAGAATACTACCAAACAATTTCCGTAAAGATGGACCAGATTTCTCAAATCATCATTACTTCCTTTAAGATCACAACTCACAAAAAGTTATATTATGACACCAATTTGCCAGATGAGGTATTCCCTTTTTCTATATATGTACGTCCACATAAGAATACAAATACTGATATAACTAATATATTATTATATATTTATGCTGTATCATTTATTTATGAAAAACGTAATAGTAAGAGTAAATATTGATATATTTCTGATGATTACACACTGAACTGAGTTATGTTTAAAGTTAAAATTGTTAACGGAATAAATTTAGACCGGAAATTCAATTCTTATAAAGAATTGCATGTTACGTACGTTCTAGTATGAAATAGAACTCGGGGGGAAAAAGCTCGCACTTTTACTCTGTTATGAAATGCTAATAAAGAAAGAAAAATAGTGAAACAACTAAGGAAAAAGAAAACTCCATTTCCATTAGCATGTACGGTTAAGCAGAAGAAAGAATTAGTGAAAATATAATGCGGTTGGTCAAAAAGATGAAACTTTGGAATCATGCTCTTGTTAGTAGTTGGTTATATATTATCATTGTCCAATACATATAAAAGGTAAAGATAAAAGATTCCTTTTATAACTATTTTTCCCAATAAACTATTTGGTACACGAAGAAGAATCAATTTAGATTCCATTAACATTTGTTTTCCTAATTAAGCTGTCATTTATCAGCTTCTCTAATCAATAACGATAGTTTCTTAGTTATCTAACGACACGAAGTCACGAATCCCATAATGTAACGAGAATATTTAATACTTTATATCATCAAATTCTTTACATGTTTTATATTTGTATTGCTTTGATTGAGAAACTGCACAGGTGTAATTTCCTCTTATCATAGCATCTCAAATATTCTGGTAAGCTAAAAAGATTAGAAAACCTTTGCTTTGTTTTGTTGCCTCGATTTTCCACAACACGATTTGTACAAAATATAGTATTTGATTGGAACTATCGAGAAAACTGCCTTTTAGAAGCAACAAAGGAATAACGAATACATGAAAAAGGATAATTTTTGTTTCCTTCAGATTTTTTTTTTTTAAATACTCATGCAGTAGACAATGCTACCAAATATTTATTTATTTTGGGTTTAACAAAACCTGTTATAAAATTCCATTGATGGACTAATTCCAATATTTACAGTTGTCGTCTGAATAGTGTGGTAACTTAATGTCTCCGTTGATAAAAGTTGAATTTTCAATTAATTAATCGAACCAAACCATTGTGTTTTTTAATTTACAAGGATACAACTTTTTGAAAACAAAGATACAACTTGGTTTAATTTAACTTCAGATATATTTAAGAAAACACATATATATATAGGGGGAACATGCTGCCCAATACTTGAATCTTTTTGAAACTTGAAGTTTCTTTGTGTACTAATCATGATTAGTAATATTGTTATTTATTTGTATGATCGTCGTTGTTTTTATAATTTGTTATTACGGGCTAATAATGGCCATTGGATTTGACATCACTTCGTGATATCTTTTCTTGTTGAATACTACCACGATATTTTTTGTTAAACAGACTATATAAAAATATTGGATGAATCTTCTTCGAGAGTGCCATTTTTCCAGTCCTTTTATAGTTTCTTTACTCCACACTGAAAAAAAAAAAAAAAAAACAATTTAAAATACATGAAAACACATGTGAGCTTCTCCGTTTCTTCTTTTGTTTTCTTTCTCTTTACCTATTTGAGTGTTTTATTCAGTCAAATTACCAATTATGCTAAAAGGTTTCTTCCTGAAGTGTCTTAATGATAACTTGATCAGTGTGGCAATGTGGCATTACTAGAACTGGAGTATTTGGATTCAGGGTAAGTTGAAAATGGAGTGTGTGGAAACTGAATTCAGATCAAATCATTTTTATACTTTAAGGTGTTTGCCAATTGGATCTTTATCATAATACGAATATAGTTAATTCTTTTATCGTTTTTAGTTTGTAGAGGTCAAAACAAAAAACAAAAAACAAAAACTGTTTAAAAACAACTTATGTAGTTAATTTATTGTGACGAAGGATTATGTTTATTTGCAACTGCTAACCAGAGACTCCCACATGCCAGAGGTAAAAACCAACGTAACGTAGCGCTGACGCATAATTAGAGACGTAAGCCAACCTCTCCATGCATTGTTGTATTTAATCTGTATGATTAGACTTCAACTCCTCAGCGACTGAAGAAGTTTCTGTAAATATATGTTCACAGTTTGTATATTGATTATTGAGTGGGTCATTTGACTTAGCCAAATATATGTAATAATTCCCTATGCTTTTAGTACACACTAACATGACCAGAGAGGATCTTGATCCTCAGTGGCTGGGATTATTAAATAATAATATACATTTTCACGATAAAGAAATCAATATTCCGGTCCAAAAATTCATAAAGTATCAAAGAATCTACTTCCCGAGTCAAGGATTTGTGCATACGTCGTAATTAAATTTCAACATTTATACAAATATAGAAAGGACAGATGACAAGTCATTTTCAATACAAATATAAAGAAAAAAAGGTAAATAAAAAATACAAATACAGTGTAACTTATTCAAATTTACATACTCCTAAGAAATATAGTGGACCCTTGATTGGTCTTGTTTCACCATAAAGAAGAGGAAGAAGAAGAAGTTGGGTATTGGAAATGCGACTGTTGTACCACAAAGCTGCTCACAAAAGCTTCTTCCTCCTCATGCAGCCCATCCAGTTTCTGCCCACCATTATTTTATAACACATAAGAGATCATCGTACATATGGTTTTCGCTTTGTATGACCAGTATGAGATCTTTCCATTATCTACAATTTTATTTTTCGACATGTAATGTGTTATCGAATTTAAACCGAGTGATACTTGTATAGTTTTTGGTGTTTAACTAAAAATATTAAAATAAGAAAAACTAGTTTAGGGATTTGATGACTAACCCAAATCTCAGCGTCGTCGTCTTCAATGTTGGGAATTTCTACAATTTCGTCGTTGCGTGCGAATCTGCCACGTATCCGAGGTCTACTGTCCGCCAATGTTTTCCGGCATGCATACTTTTTGTTTCCATCCAAAATAGACACAAAAAAAATGATTTACAATCAAAATAAATGAACTCATAAATCAAAGCCTTAAAATTTTGGAAAATGTAATAAAAGTGTTACCTTTATAGTTTTGGAAAAGTTTCTCTGGTTTCGTTTGGCTCTGTACTTTGAGATTTTCTCTTTTCGTTCTTCTGCATTATAACGTCCCACCTTAAAATTTTGTTCCTCGGAAAACGGCGCCGACGATATCTGCTCTCCGCAATTCTTTCTCACGTTCTGGAAAAAAAAAAATCAAAACTTTTAGTAAAATTACAGTGTAGAGACAGCAAGAAACAGAGCAAAAGAAAAACAGAGACCTGCAAATCTCCTGTGCTGTAGACTCGTCGCATCTGACTGGAAAAGAAGGCATTTTCCGTCGAGCTCAAGGTGTTGTAATGAAGACTCGAAGAATCCATAATCGGAATGTTGTCCAGCGGAAGCTGATTTGGTTTTCCATCAACCGAATTGCTGCTAAAGCTTCTCTGCATATACCTCCCCGCATTCTCTATTGCACTGTAGCTTCGCGCCATTGACGAAACCGTTTCCGTCTGATTATGACGGGAGCCGCCATATCCGCCGCCTTCGTAAAACGTCTCTGTTTTGACGGCGTCGGAGAAGTCTGGATACAGTGCAGTGGGATTTTGATGAGATAAAGTTAGGGTTCCGAGAAGGTCGCTTGGAGGAGACGAAGAGAGGAGGTGAGGGGCAAAATGGTCAAAAATGTTTAGAGATCCATCAGCAGAGTAGAGTTCGTTGTTGCTGAACAAATCTGTAGTTGTTGTGTCTGAAGAAAACATTTCTGGACTTGAGTTGCGGAAAATTGACGAAGAAGATGAAGAAGAACCATCAAAGATATACAGATCTGAAGAAGCCATTTTTTTTTAATTGATGAACAAAACTATGAAAGTGAAACTAAGTTTTTGTTTTTGTCTTTTCTCGAGGGTTTTGTGTTGTTTTACCAAAAATGGCAAAAAGCAAAACTTTTTGTTGTAAAAATTTGAAATTTGTTCCCAATTGTTTTTTCTTACCTTTGATTTCTGGGTTTCTCTGTTTCAGAACCAAGACATGACAGTTCAAGTTTCTTTTGTCTGGTGAGTGATGTATTTATAACGGCGGAAGAAAATGATGTTTACTAATATGTCCTTATACTCTATATATATTATGGATTGCTACTAAATTTATGTATTCTTCCATTTGTAACCCAAATGCTTACGACCAAATAGTGTAATTTAAACTCTACCTGGCCTCTCTATCTTTTTGATGCATGATGTGAGCAAAAGCTCCTTTTGCTTCTACTTGTACTACTATTCAAATCATACGTTATAGAATCTAATTCCGTCATTAGCATAGCTGTTGAAAATGTATTTTTTAGATTAAATAAATATTCTAAGGTGTAGTTGAGGATATTCGAGCGACTTTGCTACCAACATTTTGTTTTTTGCAGTCAAGATTTTTCCATAAATCTCTTACATCAGTTTACAAAAACTTATCAGATCATTCATATTTCCCAATAGCAACGTAAAAGGAAAGGTAGTAGGACGATATTTAGATTAGAAACCTATTGTAGTACACTAGCTAGTACGTATAGGTGAAAAAAGTCGAGTCAAAATTGGTAGGTGAAATTTTATACAGTTGAGCTAATGCTAGTAAATACAGTATATATAACTAAAGTAGCAGGTAAAATCCTTTTAATAGCATTTGGTTTTCAATTATAAAGTATCTTGGTTTAAATATGTTCTTTCTCAATATGTAAACCGTAAAGAGTTTCTTAATCTTTTTGATATTTTAACCGTATTGCAGAACGGCAAATAAATTCTGATTGCAAGCCTATTCTTGAATGAGTGAATCAGTACTCCAAATGTTAGTGTAACAGACAAAACTGATCTTGGGATAAATTTTAAAGAAGCTTTTCCAAAGTATAGAAAACGTGATGATCGCCATACATTAAAAAAAGACTAGTATGTGTATCGATCATACGTACTGTATTTAATATAAGGGTGCTGTTAAAATTGTGTGTTGGTAATTTAAAAAAGAGGTTAAATTGTCAAATAAATACTTATTCTGAAATTTCGGCATTTCCAATGGGTCAAAGAGTTTTAATTCAACCAATAAAAAACTTGAGAGGAGCGAAATTCAAGTCCAAACAATAAATTTTAATAACTGTTACTTAAAAAAAAAATTCAAACAGAAAACAAAAAACAAAAAAAAAGAGGGAGAAAAAAAATTCTCAAAATTTCTGCGTTTGTTTCCAATTCAAGAAAAAGAACAAATATTGAATGCTTATTAGCGCGTGAAACGCTACTTAATTTATTACCATTTTCTTATTGGGATCCCTTTTCTTATTTGCATTTTCTAGGGAGATTCCATATTTTGTGGGTATATATTTTCTGGTGAAGAGATTTGTGTTTATTTTTTTTTTCGTGGTAATTATCAAAACCATGTCGAGCTCTCAGGACAAGCTTGATAAGATGCAGCTCCGGCAGAGTTACCGGAATGTATGGCATTCTGATCTCATGAGCACTGTCTCAGCCGATACTCCTTGTAAACCTCTCTCTGACTCTCTCTCTCTCTCTCTCTCTCTCTCTCTCTCTCTCTCTCTCTCTCTCTCTCTCTCTCTCTCTCTCTCTCTCTCTCTCTCTCTCTCTCTCGCTATATTCGAAACGTTTATGTTTATCTCGTTAAAGACTAATCCATAGTTATCATTTTTTTTTCTTCTTAATTTGGTTCTGCAGATTGTTGCTTCTCGTGTTTGTGGTAAGTGTTTCTTGTTCTTCTCTTAAATTTCTTTTCGGCTTGTCTTTTTGATTTTCCTGAAATGCATCACATTTCATCAAACTGTTGATACGTGGCTTTGTTGATTCCAGAACAAGAAAATAGAGTTTTAACAAATTTAAATCTCGTTGGTTGGATCACTGGTTTAAAATCGAACTGAGCCATTCTGGTTTTTATTAGTAATTGGTACAATTTTGACTCCTTATGGTAGATGAGAACCTTTGTAGTCTATGAATGGTTTGTATGTCTTTTGTAATTGGTTCACATTTAAATCTGCCATTTATTCTGATTATGCAGTGGACCTTGTGTTTCATACTTACTCCGAAAGAGAGCACTTTACAATGACATGTCAAGGTATTAAATTCTGCTTTCTGTAGAAAGATGACCAGATTGTGCAATGATTTGTTTTCTCTTAAATGCTATTGTGTTGTTGTTTTTTCCTTCCGTGAAGGTATACTTGTTGTGGGGGATATATGCCTTGTAGTGGTAGGTGTGGAGAAAGCAAATGCCCTCAATTCTGTCTTGCCACTGAGGTAAAAGCCTTTAATGTTATTTTGATTTTCATGTTGGTGAACAAAATGAAATGACTTGTGGAATTGGGAATCATCATTCACTCTGATATATATTTTGATCAATCTTTCCTCAGTTTTGCTGATCATTCTTGTTTTCATCACCAATCTGTTATACTCTAACTCTATCAAACACTATTTTCATTGCTTGTGATAGATTCTTTATTCGGAGCTCTAATTGAATTATATTTTGTGTTTATGTTTGACATTTAAAAAATTTGATGTTTATGATAAAAGAAAAAATCAAAAAATGATTTTCCATCATGAATTATGGAATTAGTAACATGAACATGAAACAACATTTTACTTCGAAGTTTTCATGTTCTTCTCTAGTTTTTTTTGCTTGCTATTCTAGTGGCGTGTGATATAAGCTTTCTTTTTTTTTTTTGAGCAAAGATATATATATACCCTTTCTTTAAAATCTTCAATTTATTTTTATGTAAGATTGATTCAATACAATACAAAAGAACTCTTTTATGATGTTGACATTGTTGAGGAATGTTTTCAGGTTTGCATCTGTTTTGGAAACTCAGTAGCATCTACTCGGTTTATGCTGCAAGATGAATTCAACATCCACACAACACCATGTGACAATTGCATAATTGTATTCTCTACTTTTCTCTCTTTTGTCTTCCGTCGCATACAGATTTGAGTGTACTAACATTTTCTTCAATCTTCTTCGCCGTTTTGTAGGGATTTATGATATGCCTCAACCAACTCGCTTGCATTTTCTCTCTTGTCGCTTGCATTGTGGGAAGTGATGAACTCTCTGAGGCTTCTCAACTCCTATCTTGCTTGGCTGATATGGTCTATTGCACGTATGTATTATCCTTTCTTATAATATCCTTAATTCTTCAACTAAATTAAATTTAGTCAAAAGAGTAATACCAAATCTTGTACATTGTATATTTTCTTGCATCCGTAATGCTGATTATATATTTTTGTTCTTGGTTTTCGCAGGGTCTGCGCGTGTATGCAGGTAACACAAGTCAACTTTCTTTCACATCTACTTTCATTTTTAACTTAACCAAAACCAATCTCTTCTCATTCTTTGCTTGCAGACACAACATAAGATCGAGATGGACAAAAGAGATGGTGTGATTGGTTCACAACCAATGTCAGTGCCACCGGCTCAGCAAATGTCTCGCATTGATCAACCGGTTCCTCCCTTTGCCGGTTACCCTCCAGCCAATGGCTATCCTCAGCCTTACTATCCACATCCTGGCCATGGTTACCCTCCTGCTCCAGGCTATCCACCTACCGCTCATGGTTACCCTCCAGCTCCAGGCTATCCGCCAACCGGACATGGTTACCCTCCTGCACCAGGCTATCCACCAACCGGACATGGTTACCCTCCTGCACCGGGCTATCCGCCTACCGGCCATCCCTCAAAACAAGAACCTTAAGGTCCTTGGCCTTACCAAAGTTGCAATATCATGTAAACCGGACTTCAAAACATTTAGTAGTTTTGTTGCTCGGTTTATGTCCAAGAAGCTTCTATACCATCCGGTTTGTTGTCTCATCGGTTTTCGGTTTTCCTCTTATCTATTGAAACATTCACTCTAGCTAGAAAACCCTTTATTAATTGCGGTTTTACTCTTGGTGTATTTATGATCAAGTATTATACGTTCCTGTAATGGTTCTCTGATTTCAAAGTTTTGCTGGTCTAACGAACCGGTTAATGACAACTACACTACTTAAAAATGGAGCTTCTTTTTCTTGGCTTTTAGCCTTTCTAGTCAAAGAGGGTCAAACCCACCATATTTTATTAAATTAAATCCTTTAAATAATTAAGTTATCTACCAAAACTTTTCTACAAAACACTACTTGTGGTCATCAATTTCATTCAATTAAAGTTTGTATTCCCTTTCAGTATAACAACTTCATGTTTCATTATATATATATATATATACGACGTTCTACGAATTTTGAAAATTAGTATTGAAATGATATGAAAGGCTAAAGACCCTTCCGTATATCTTAAAATCTTTTTCTTCTGTAAATTAAAATGCCAGTGTTACTGGTTAATCCTTTTTTTTTGTTACTGGTTAATGCCAGTGAGCCAATCTTTATACTTCTAGACTTCTAGTAGTCGAAGTACATCTACTTAACTCTACAATATAGATGTTATTATTATCATTTTGCAATAGGAGCAAAGCTATTATCATCATTTTTGAAAAAGTTTATCTTACTTTGATGGTGTGTTTGTAACCGAAAGCTTAAAATGATTAGGCGTGTGGGGTTTTTCGTAATGGGTTTGAAAAATAAGCACAAGCGCAGACAATCCTACGCACGCCACGTGGTAACAGCTGAGCATATTAACTTCAGGAGGACCTCTCTTCGTGGACTCTCCAATCAATTTCTTTTTCCTTCCGACAATTATAATACCTTCTGATCGTTTTTTATATTTAGAGTTAAATTTAATGCTCCCTACTTCTGTCTTTTTATATATACTGTAGTTTTAATGGTTAATTTATTTCATAGAACATCCTTTTTCTGTTTTTTTTATTAAAATAAGTAAATAAAATTCTAGCTTACATAATGTTCTTAAGTTATGTTCTTAACCGGGTTCTCGTGGTCTGGTGGTAATGGAACCTCCTGAGGTACCCGCCATCACGAATTCGAGTCCCCGACCATTCGGACTGCCTTAAATGGTAAGAAAATGTTGACTACCGTGGGCCTCATGGGATTAGTATTGGACCTAGAAAGCCTTTGGATCACCCACAGTTATCAAAAAAAAAAAAAAGTTATGTTCTTCCCTAAAATAAGATTAAAAAAAGAAGGAGAATGAGTCATTTGTTTTATTTAAAAAAATGTTTACACGTTTTGTCTCACATAGAAAGTATTAAACAGCTATGAAATTTCATAGTTTGTAATTTTGTAATACATTGTGTGTCTAATAAAGATTGTCTAATAAAGTATTAATCTTATATACTTTAGGGAAGAACATAATTTAAGAACACATATGATCTCCTAGAAATGAAATGAGTTAATAAAGGCTTTTGATAAACGGATCCGGATGACCAAAACTATATTTCTATCTTATTGATGTAATACAATTTTCTGTGAAATGGGTTATTGCTGTGATATTGAAACTTAAAATTGTAAACATCACTGTTAAAGAGTGACTTTTTCCGATCATATATATTGGGCGTTTATAACTTACGACGTATCGTAAAGATCGAATCACCATTAGGGCATCTCCAACCCACACACCATATTTGGTGTTGCTCCTACACCAAATTTGGTGTTTTGGTGTTCTACTTTTTTTTTCAACTCCAACCACAAACACCAAATCTCACACTAAAAAGAATATTCTTTTATATTATATTATTAAATTTAAGATTCTTTTATTTTTCTAAAAAGTTTTAATGAATGCTTAATTATTCAAAACTAATTCATTATTAAATTAATACAAATTACAATTCAGAATTTAGAAATAATAAAAACAAATTACATCATATCATACTAATTTTCAGAATTAGTATATTCAGACCACAAATGTTCAATTAATGCATTTCGAAGTTCAATATGCGCTTCACGATCTTTGATTTTTTTGTGTCGAGCTAAAAATTCTTGAAATTGAACATCATCATCACCAGTCCTCTCAACATCCGCAATTGGAACTTCAGCTCGTTCTTCAATATGTGCATCATCAACACGTTCATCTTCTATGATCATATTATGCATTATAATACAAGTTGTCATAATATCATGTAACACTTCCTTATTCCAAAAGCGTGATGGCCCGGCAACAATTGCAAATCTTGACTGCAATACTCCAAATGCACGTTCCACATCCTTTCTACATCCTTCTTGCTTCTTTGCAAATAATTTCTTTTTTGGACCACGTGGTTGATGAATTGTTTGAACAAGAGTGGACCATTTTGGATATATACCATCAGTTAGATAATATCCCATATTATAGTTTTTCCCATTAATAACATAATTAGCAGGTGGAGCCGTTCCTTCAGCTAGATTAGCAAAAAGATGAGACGCTTCTAGCACATTAATATCATTGTTAGTTCCTGGTAGACCAAAGTATGCATGCCAAATCCAAAGATCATAATCAGCTACAGCTTCTAAAATAATTGTAGGAGATCCACTCCGACCAGCATATTGTCCTCCCCAAGCAGTTGGGCAGTTTTTCCATTTCCAATGCATACAATCTAAACTACCCAACATACCTGGAAATCCTCGGCTTTCACCAATGCGAAGTAGCCGTGCAACATCGTTAGCGTTAGGTGATCGAAGATAGCGGTTGGAAAACACCTCGACAATAGCACGGCAAAATTTCTTCAAACTTTCTATAGCCGTAGACTCCCCTATTTTGATATACTCATCAGTAGAATCCGCCGGTAAACCGTATGCTAACATTCGAAATGCAGCAGTGATTTTTTGCAAACCAGACAACCCAAGTTTACCGAGACCGTCTCTTTGCTGGACAAAGTGATTGTCATGTCTTTGTATAGCATCGAAAATACGGAGAAACAAGGGACGGCTCATTCGAAATCTTCTTCGAAACATTGTCTCGGAAAAAAGAGGGTTATCTGAAAAATAGTCATTAAAGAGATTGCGAGCAGCATTTTCCCGGTCACGATTGATAACTATATGACCAGGAATTGATCCGCGATGAGAACCCTCAGAATTAAATAGATTTTGAGTGATGAGAAAATTAGTATTTGCAGTGATTTGAGTTACTGCCTGCTTTTCGATATCATCGTAAAATTCATCATCAGATGAAGAAGAAGAAGAAGAAAAATTTGTATAAGATGAACTACCATAGTTGAAATTCATGATTTTGAGAAGAAAGTAAAGATGATATGCATTTTAGTCTCAAGACAAGGAACCCATTTTATAGTGTTAGAAATTATCACTTTCAATTATCTTTTTTATTCAATCAGAAAATACGATTAAATCTAAGTCGTTGAATTTGTTCAGCCAAGATCTAACCGTTGCATTGATTAGTCACCTCATAATTTTTTTTTGAAATCAGAACTATACGAATAAATCTAGGCCGTTAAAATTATTCGGCAAAGATCTAACCGTTGCATTGATTAGTCACTTCTAGCTTTTTATCAATCAAAAAAATAAGACTAAATCTAGGCCGTTGAAATTGTTCGGCCAAAATCTAACCGTTGCATTGATTAGTCACTTCACGCTTTTTTATCAATCAGAAAAATAAGACTAAATCTAAGCCGTTGAAATTCTTCGGCTAAGATCTAACCGTTGCATTCACTAGTCGCTTCATACTTTTTATCAATCAGAAAAATACGACTTAATCTAGGCCGTTGAAATTATTCGGCCAAAATCTAACCGTTGCATTGATTAGTCACTTCAAGCTTTTTTATCAATCAGAAAAATAAGACTAAATCTAAGCCGTTGAAATTCTTCGGCTAAGATCTAACCGTTGCATTCACTACTCACTTCATGCTTTGTTATCAATCAGAAAAATAAGACTAAATCTAGGCCGTTGAAATTGTTCGGCTAAGATCTAACCGTTGCATTCACTCGTCACTTCATGCTTTTTATCAATCAGAAAAATACGACTAAATCTAGACCGTTGAAGTTGTTCAGCGAAGATCTAACCGTTGATTTGTTTCTTCAGTTCTCTATATAAATGTATACTACTCTTTGAATGATCACACATCTTACAGTCACTTACTTACCACAAATATTTCTTTTGCAATGGCTTCACCTCGATCTGCTTCATATTCTATGGAAGAAGATATTCATTTATGTCATGTGTATCTTGATATTTCTCAAAATCCAATCATTGGGATAAATCAATCAGGAGATCAGTTTTGGAGGAGGGTTTTTGTTGAATATGATAAATCTGAGATTTTTCGTAATCAACCAAGACCACAAAGATCCTTAGAAACCCGAATGGCAAAAATTCTTTCTGCAGTCTCCAAGCTGAGGGGATGCGTTAACCAGATTGAAAATAAAAATCCAAGTGGTGCTTCCGACCAAGATATTGTAAGTATATATTTGAACTATTTCTAATTTTTGTCATTTTTCTTTGTTTTATTTGCTAACATGTTTATGTTTTTTCTTATAATATTAATCAGTTAAACCAAGCAAAGATGTTGTTAAGACAAGATGTCAAATACAAGACAGGATTCAAATTTGATCATGTATGGCCTATTCTCAAAGGTATTGAGAAATTTGCAAGCAACCACACTAGTAGAACCACTGCATTTCAAGAAGAACGCCGTAATGTCATGTCATCTCAATCATTCCAAGATGAGTCATCGCCATCGCATGGTATGAGTTCATTTGATCTAAATATGAGTAGTGAAGAAACCACTTTTAATTCCTCTCAGCGACCTATTGGTGTGAAGAAAGCAAAGAAACAACAACAATCTTCAGATCAATTTAAACAAATGATGGAGCAAAGTGATAAGCTTATCAAAGCTATTTCTAAAGGTACTGCCGAGAGAAACGAAATTCAAAGACAGAAGGTGCAGGTAGCAAAAATGAAAGAAGAAAATAGAATATTATTTACAGATTTAAATTCTATAAGTGATCCAGGGTGTCGTGCGTATATCGAAAATGAAAGAGAGAAAATTTTGAAAAGAAGAGCACCAACAGACCAATATGAAGAACACGGAGAAGGTTCTCACAGCCAATATCGAGCATCTCAAAATCAAGGAGATCAAACTCAAGGAAACCAATTTCAAGGAAACCACGTTGAAGGTGGAGATGAAAGAGCACCAAATGATCCACAAGATTTTACCCAATACTATCGTTATCTTGGTGGAGACGGAAATTATTTTCCCGGAAATTAGATTATGTTCTTAAAAAATAAATTGTTGCATTTAAGTATTTTTCTTATGTTTGTTTGTTTTTAATTTTGTAATCCTATGTTTTCCAATGTTTTTTGTTGAATTTCAATATGTATTTTTAGTTATAATTTATGTTTAACTTATATTTTGTGTGGAATACTAGTTATAATTATAATTTAAAATGCAAAATATAAAAATGTTTTATCATTTTTAAATAGCAACTTTTTTTAAACTTAAAATACACTTAGTTACTCAATAAACAAATACTTATTTTATTAATATAACACTTATTTTATTAAAAGATAAATGAAAAAAAAAAGAATATTTTTTGGTGTTTTGTGAACAGTGTCACACCAAATATGGTGTGACACTGTTCACAAAACACCAAAAAAAAAGATTTGGTGTGAAGTTTGCCGTGTGATTGGAGATGATTCTGCACCAAATATGCCGTTATGCCGTTCGATTGGAGTTGGTCTTAACATATCAAGAACAAAAACGATAGTGTAATCGAGTCTAGTCAGTTTTAGAAACAGGTAATCATCAGATATATTTTGGCACTAAATACCACAAGAAAAATTCCAAGAAAGGTCAGAGAGTCAGAGTAAAGGTATCATATCTTGTAAAATATAATTATTTCCCTCTAAAGTTGGAGAGAAAAGTTCTACAAATAGTAAAAGTTAAGATTTCCATTTCATCTTTTTTCCTCTCAAAGGATAATACAAATTCCCTTCGTCTAATTTACTAAGAACCACCTATATTTTTCTATTTACATATATACCAACAACTCAACTCAACTAAAAATGAAACAAAAAAAAACACAGAAAGACAGGAATTATTTTCCCTCTTTGCAGAAATTAATTGCAAAAACAAAGAAGATTTCTAAGTTGATTCTCCAATAAGTTGAGAAACACTATTAGATTCAGACCAAACCCTTTGGTTAAAAGCAACTTGTTGATCATCAGGAATAAACGGCGTTCTACAAAGTGGACACGTCATCTGATTATAACCCATCATCCAACGGTCCAAACAGCTCCGATGGAATATGTGTTGGCAGTTCGTCAGCCGTCGGATCTCATCTTCGTTTTCGAACTCGTGGAGACACACCGCGCAGCAATCGGATTCGGATCCGGACCCAGGTCGGAGCAGTTCTGAAAATCTGATAACGGGTAGGATTTCTCCGGCTAGCCTCGCCGCCACTGGGTGGAAGAAGGAGCTTTCTTGGTGATGCGCCGCCGTGGAAACTGACGGCAGTTCCGGCCATGATGGTGATGAAATCGGGTCGGACTCGAGGAAGTCGGGTAAACCCATTACCCGAAAAACGGTGTCGATGAGTTTACGGATTAAGCCTAAAAGAGAGAGTAAGCATAGGAAGATTCTTGGGAGGAGGAGCTCGGTGTAGCCTACCGGGAAACCCATGCTTCGCCGTTAGAGAGAGAAAGCAACAAAACAGAGGGGAAGAGAGAGAGAGCTTAGAAATGGGAAGGAGAGGAAGGGGTAGAGAAGAGTGGGCTATATATACACGTGGGTGATATTGTATGTAAGTAAATAAGTAACTAATGATTTGTTTTTTCATTTTCTTTTGGATTATGCAGAGATTTTTTTGTTTTTTTATAAGATAGTGGATTATGACAATTATATTTGTACAAAGTACGTAGATAAAAAAGTTATAAAACTAGAAAGAAGAAAATATAACTTAGGATTAGGAACCATAAATAGTGATTGAGTACATATTCTTTCGATGTCAAAAAACAAAAGTAGTGATTTGAATAAAATTAATAAACGCAAATTAAGACCTACCAAAAACTATGAATTATACCTCAATTCTTATACTTGGACACACCATTTAAGATTTTAAGGAGTTTATCTTCGCTAGTTCGCTTATATGTGGCAAACTAATTAGTCTGGTAACAGTGTTAAGACTTAAAAGTATTTTCATCCAGCTTTTTAGCTACACCCTTTAACTATTTTTCTTTTAGTAGCATATTTTAAAGTTAATAACAAGAGTCTTTTACATTTATATTCACCTAATACACTCCAAAACTGAACTTAACAAAAGAGAGATATAGGAAAAAAGAGGAGCAAAGACAATAATAAAATATATAAATTTCAAGAAATTGTACCGAAGCTAGAAAACATGAAGGTGGGGACAATCGGATTGAATTTGTTTATTGACAAAAGAAAAGTGGGGATTTAAATGGTTTCAGATGGTTCCACGAATCCGAGTTACAGTAGCATAAATTTTGGAAAATATATAAATAAAACACATAATTTAAAAATACAAATGATTCAACGATAAGAAAACGTTAAATACAATAACAAAAAGATGGACCCGACAACTGTTTTGTTTTGATGCTTCATTTTTAGTGCAATTTCAACATCATATTTGTCTTTGTCCCTCATATTTATATGTCTATAATGCCAACTTATATGTATAAATATTGGATTCTTACATGTCTAAATAAATTAGCGACTATACAAACCTGTAGATTAGGAATCTGTGGTATTCAGATTTTCCTTAATATAGAACATTTATGTTTTCAAAACATTATTGATGTGTCTATGTGCAGCCGCACACGACAAATAAATGTGACGTGAGGGCAGACTGTTAGGTTCATTTCACTTCAATTTCTCAACGTTCTTGATTTGACTATATAAATTAAATACAATGACAACAATATTATTTAAAACAACTAGAGTAATAAAATAGTTAAAGAAACCGTTCTCAATAGCATAATGATATTAATTAGTACATATCTCAAGTATCATGGATCTTTGCAGCCGATTTATATTAGCTTGCCGTGGAATATGAAAGAAGAATTTTCGTATTCATTTCAGTACTTTTATCACAAAACAACTTGATTATAATTTTTTATTTAACAAAACAAATACTAATATTAAGGAGCTACTAGAGAGAGCGAAAGAGAGTGGTAGTCAAGTCATATGGGACCTGAATAAAATGTCTGCAAGTGCCAAAGCAGCAGTGACCCACACTCTCTCCATCTTCTCTTCCTCCAACATTTCACATTCCCATATTTACACTTTCTTGTATCTATTTGCACATTTACTTACATGTATTTTATATCATATGATACGTACAAGTATATATACATTTTCTCCAACAAAAAGTCTATAATACGTACATATATGATAAATAAGTTCAGTAGCCAATGCTTGTGACAAGTAAAGTGGTGGTGGTACGTGGACCTGGTGGTAGACCTCCTTCTTCAGGTTTACGTAGACATTAATTTTAATTAATGAAGTTCATTAAGATAATTTCGAATATGTTGGACATATGTTTGTTTTCGAAATTTTGTGCTTCTTATTTAAATATCATATTGTCCTTATTTCGTTAGTTCATATACCATTCATCTCTAAGTCGACATTTTTAGCTAAAGCCTAAATTAAAGAGTCCCATGCATAAGAATTAATTCCAGTATTTTTAAACTATTTTTTTTTTTCTGGAGTTTGTGCTCCTTAACATTGTCGTTGTTTCTCGTTGTGATGTGAACGAGAGAGTTATAGGAGAGAAAAACAGTTGTTGTAACTTCCAAGTTCCAAATTATGATCTTAGAGAAATCTATAGGGTGAAAAAATAAACCCAAGTCTCATATCATGAAGTCTTTAGGGTTTTTTTTGGCAATTTTCCCAAGGATCAAAGAAAATGATCTACTCTTAAAAGTAATTTAAGCATCTTAGTATGTATGCTAATTCAAAGGAAAACTACAAAATCCCTCCAGTTCTGCATGTCAGACGTTGTCGTTGGTTCGTACTACCATTACACAAAGGGAAACAATTATAATTTTTATTTTCTGTCACTTTTATTATTTTGCATTTAGTAACTACGAACTAGTAAGAACACAGAGTCCAGTACTCCACTAGTGATTGGTCTTGTATTGTCTGAATCGGACCACGTGGATATCATTTTAAAAATAAAGCAATAATTCTGTATTTTATATTTATACATCCATGTTTTTGGTATACACTTTTCGGTTGGACCATACGCTTGCACACACTATCACTGACGGAAAATGAAAGTTGAATTTCAATAGCGAAATAAATTTCTACAAAAGAAAAAAGTAAAAATAAACAAAAGCCATAGTAATATAGCAAAATTTGAATTTCGACGAGGAAAAGCATCTTCAATTTTCTGAAAACATTTCTCCATGTGCATATGTTTTTATGTATGTGTATATGATAAATTGATAATAGTTGTAACTCAAATATATTTTTTGTTAAAGGTAACTCAAATATATTTGCCTGATCGAGAAGTACAAAGACAGCTAATACAATAACTTAACCAGTGAATCTAATGTCTCTCCTTCTAGTAGGCAAACTAACGTGGCCTTGCCTTTTTCCAAATATATTTATAATTTCTTAATTATATATTTCATCTCTTTACTTTTTCCCCTTTTGGTAGCATCAAATAAGTTAAAGATATTTTTTATATCTGGTCTTCATTTCAAACATTTCTAAGTTACAGAGATAATTTAGACAGAAAAAAAGTAAAAATCTGAGGCAAGAAAAAATATGAATTAACAACTAGTGAATTTTGCAAAGCTTCGATTAGTGTTTTTTCACTGCTTTTCTTTGTTCAGTAAACTAATATTTTGGTCAAATGCAAAAGCTTCATGTGAAAAAATTTGTTTGAATTTTTGGCAGGTGTCAAGAATTATTTGTTTATAGAAGAATCACAAATGGCTAATTTTAAGATTCTTGAAGCTGCTTATAAATAAAACAACTAAACAAGCAGAATTAATTTACTGCCTTTTTAGCCTTCTCAATGATACTGGGCCACATCTGAAACAATATCATCAGATTCATGGTAAAACTGGGTAGTAAACAAAGTAGATCTGCTTACATCAGGCAATGAAGAGAACCAGAGTAAATAAGGTCTCTTTTTCCATGAGCAAGTGGTTTTATACACACAAAAACAATCTCACTTCTCTTACTTCTCAAAGATCCCACTAAAACTACAAGACTCTCTCGTACGTGTGAATCAAACCAAATTAAAAGACGATCTTATCTTTTAGACTTGGGAAGCCACTCTCTTTGTACAGCTCTTAGGGACGTGAATGCTATGGAAGTTTGGTCCCTTTGGGATAGTTGCAGGTCTTTTCTCCACTGAAGCAACACCACAAACATAAGGTTTGTTGATGACTGCAGCTTCCTTAGATTCTCCTTTCCTCCCTAATGAGGTTTCAATCGTTTTGCTTGCCACTTTCTTCTTTGTACCTAATGCAACCCTGAGGAAATACACACAAAATTGATCAGATTTACATGCTGCGTAAAGGCAACTGTTATTGACAAGTCAAAACTCGTTTTTTGGTGTGATAAGAGTGTTTTTACCTCTTGCCATTCACCATGTTATCAGAGGCATCGTGTCCAACAAGTGTTGTTGTTGTGGATGTTCCTCTAAAAGCTTTTGACCGTGGAGTTGTGTTCTTCTCCAGCTGCAGTTTAAATTAGTAAGTAACAAAAAGAAAAAAAGAAATGCTTTGGATTTTGAGTGTTTCAGAAAGAACTTACTCTAACTGGCCTTAGAATGTTTGTACATTCTGCTCCTTCTTCTTTGGGAAGAGCAAACTGTGGTTTCTTGTCCGTGTTTGCTTCCTTGAGAATTCCTCTTTCCTGAAAACATGTATATACATATTCTTCCATCAGAAAAAAAAAAAAAAAAAAAAAAAAACAGAGTTGACAAATCTCTTTGGTGAGTTGTATAATATTGCACATCACATCATACGTTGGTTCTTAGTCGAAAAGGCTTTGGATTTGTGAGCTTAGGTTTTGTATACTTGAGACGGTTATTAGCCGAGACAGTCTTGCCATTGAAACACTTATCCGCTGCTACTGTCATCGCCTGGTTCAGTAGAGAAACACATATAATCAAAACACAAGAGAAGATAGCAGAGCTCATCAAAGAAGAAATCTATCTTTCTTACCTTTTGAGTGGTTTCTTTCTTGCCAAAGACTTTCTTTTTCAACAGAGGGTATGTGGCTTGGTCGACTTTCCTGCACCTGTTGTTGTCCAAGGCTGAAGAATTTTCTTTGTCGTCGTCACACTTGAATGGTGATGCATTCTCTTTATCCTCAATCTCCCTAGTCTCGTATTGCTTTGCTTTATCCTCTCCACTCTCTTCTGTCACAGAAACAGCTTCTCTTTTGACATCCGTTGCATTCTTTTCCTCCAAAGCTAATGCATTTTCCTTATCTTCAGTCTCTGCAATTTGGTTTTGCTTCCCTTCAGATTTCTTTTCAACAACAACCAAGGACTCTTCATTCTCAAGTATCATACCATTAGCCTCATTAGATTTCAAAGGAACAGAGGAAAGCAAAGGCTCTTCCTTTCCATTGATCCTCTGTTTCAATGTACCACTACCTTTAGCCTTTTCATCAATCTGTTGTGTCTTTGGCCGCAAAGAATCAAACACTCGGCTCTTCACATCTCGTCCCTTTCGTGGTCGTTTACAAGTCTCAACCCCCAAACCACCTCTTGTTTGGCTATCAATCCCAAGCTTCCTCATCCCATTACACAACTTCTTAAGCTCCACGGATGTCTTTAGTTTCACCAACTTGTTTGGAGAATGAAACACCAAAGCCTTTGCAACAACTCTCTTCTGCGGCGTCACTCTACTCGTTGTCGGATTCTGCACACTCCTAAAAGCAGCTGCTGGACTCGGACTCTGCATTAGCGTCTTCGTCTTCCGCTCGGTGAAGGCCTTGGATGACTCTTTTCCTTTGACCTTTGCCTTTGGAGTTGCATTCTTGTTTGTGCAAATCACTTTTGCTTCTTTTGATCTCATATTGTTGTTAGCCTTGTGAGGGATGGATGAGATCATGGCCAATCTAGCAACGCGTGATCTCGAGGGCTTTGCAGGAACTGTGTTGGGGCATTTAAGCTCTACACTGTAATAATAAGTAACAACAAAATTAAGCTTCATGTAAGATTAAGAAGAATGAAACGTTGATCTCTCTCTAAGTTAAAAACACACTTCGTTTGAATTTGGTTACCTAAAATCTTTTTTGTAAAGAGCTTTTCGAAGACGAACACTTGGACTCCTAGCTGCCATGACCTATTAATCATCAAAGTATTGATCTTTTTAAATCATCGTCGAAATCAAATTAAGGAAGAACAGGGGAAAAGAAAAGTTTGTAATTTCGAAGCTAACCCGAAGAACGAATTTTTGGTAGATTGCTTCCGAATCCATAAATTCTTCATGCTTTTGATCACAGCCTGATAAAATTCAAAACCACAAGCTGATTTAATCACTAAAACCCTAATTTAGCAGTTTTTTCAGATCGATTACTACAGAAATTGAACTTTTCCCCCCAGATCTGATCTCTGTAACATTGAGATTAATAATTACTAGTGATTTATTCAAATTTCAGAAAGAAAAAAAGAGAAAGAGTGAGAATAAGAATCTGACCAACTCTGGAACAAAACCAGTAACGATCGTCGCCTTGGGGACGATGATCAGGAGCGGTAAGGTCTACAAACTTTGGTGCTTCTATGGTCTCGTAGAAGTCCTCTTCGTTAAACTCATCCACTATCATGTGCTCGAACGCCTCCATTAACACCGAAATTATCACAAGTTACAGAGAAAGAGAGGAACAGAGAGAGAGAGAGAAAACTGGGTGTGAGAAAGAGAGAGAAAGGAGTGTCTAATTTCCAAGATTGTAGCTCAGACAAAATGAAGGATCTCATTCATTAACAAAACTAGCCGTTAAGAGGAAAGGAAGATTCCTTTTGTAATAATGGTCTCTTTCCAGGGCTATTTTCGTCACTACAATTGGTTTTGATTTTGAGCTTCAAAGAAAAAAGCAGTCTCTAGAGTCACTCACACTACCAGTAGCCGTTACTTAGTTTGGTGAAGGTAAATATGGCTCTGAGAGTAGTTCAGATTTTTAAACGTCTTAAAAAGGTTTTAAAGTCAGTTGACTAAAGAAAGGTTAAAAGATTCTGAAACATGTCTAAAATACGTCAACAAGTGAGTATTTTTCAAAAAAAAAATTAGCCCACTATGTAGATAGTTGTTCAATTTCCTTAGCCAAGTCTGGGATTTAAACAATCTACAGTAATTCCAGGTTTAGTGATATTACGCATCTTGTTGTATCTTTTGAATGTTGTGATATGCTCCAGAAGCTGATGGTATAGGCAAAATGAATAAAACAGCGTGATGGCATAGGCAAAATGTAAGTAATGGGCTTAAGCCCACTTCACTGGGCCCATTCTACAAAAGTAGTTAGGATAAAGTGATGCGGTTTTTTTGAGTTTATATATTTTAGTCGACGTGGTCGACAAGCAACCCTGATTAATCCCGATTCCTCGGCAGAAGCACACAGAGCCTCAAAACCCTAAGAAGCGGATCATGGCAACGGTGAGGGAGATCGTAGAGGAAGACGACCGAATTTGGAGAGAGCGAGAAAGTGACCGCGAAGTGGAAGATCGAAATCGACCTAATGAGAGCGAGATCGCGATCATCGGAACCACCAATAATATGCCAAGAATTCCGGTTAGTATATGAATGCATCATCCCTTCCTTGTACGACACTAGCTTCGTTTTGAGAAATTAATAATTGATGAATGCATCTAGATTCGAATCCAGCGCATGATTGACAGAATGAGGCTTGGTTTAGAGTTTTACGATCCAATCATCCTCGACTTTGTGGACCTTACGGATAAAGATTTAATTTGGGATCCGAATTCGTATTCCGATTGGAATGAAGAAAGATTTCAAAACTATTTTCATCCAAAGCCTGTTACTACTGTTACAATTCCACCAGAAATTCCGGAAGGAACTAGCAAACTGTTTATCATGATCATGGATTGGAGTCGTGTAAGTTTTCTCATTCAGTGATATTGTTTCAAATATGAATCTCTGCTTCTTCTGATATCTGTATTTGTTACTTATAGGCCAAAGACTTGTTGTTGGTTTTGAATCCGTTTCTGCCGGAACATGGACTCATTTTGTCTGTGGCTTTCTATCCAAAAGATCCCGTCCGCAAGTAAAAAATCGTCTATATATATATATTTTGGTGACTATTACTTACTGTATTACTTACTGAAACTGATCCTGATCGATTCCTCTCTTCTTGTTCCGTATCAGGGGTTATCATGCAGTTGCTGAATGTGATTCAAGTGCTACTGCAAGTTACTTGTTGAACAAATCTCGCCATGGAATTGAGGCTGAGTTTGAGAGACGCTCAAACAAGCTCCTCGACTTTAAGTTTGTTCCGGATGATATGGAGTTCAAGAAACCTCCTCGTGACGTTGCAACAAACGAAACTGATCCGGATCCGAGATCCTCAGCTCTGGTCCAAGGAGTGCGAGCTATGAATATCAATCAGCTCTATAGCAAAACGAAGATCCTATACAGAAGACCCGTTGAACAACTCAGAATGGTAACTTGTAAAGAAAGAAACAACGGATGCCTTCTCTTCTAAGAAACTTGAACGTTGGTTTTTAACTTTTTATGATGATCCAATTATATGTCCCAAAATTTCACTGGATGAATCACTTTCCAAGTATACGTGTTCAAAATCCAGATTGTTAACACATCACATGGGCCAAGAGAAGGCTGTTGCTTCTCCTTCCAAGGTTGATTATAGCTTAAGATATGATTTAGCTGCATACCATCTGACTTTCCGCATTCATCTCTCAATATCCATGATCCAGGAAGCATCTACATTACATATGAAAATACTTGTGATTTGAGGACTCCATTTGATGCTAACTTGCTAAGGTCACTTCACTTATATAGTGTTAGGATCTTCTACTCTCTGCAGAGCTTGGTTTTGTGGCTGAGAGAGACCTTTTCTGCATTGTAATCCAACCACTTTCGAGCATCTTTTTTAGACATTAGAAGCACAATTCTTTTTTTAGCCTTCCATATTCTCGTAGGAGCCAATACCATAATCTGATCGTGTCTTTGAAGAATTGAAGCTATATAAAACACTTGGCCAGATTCTCATACAATGAAGTGTAGCGCCGCAGAAGAATGAGCTCAAACCACCACTCTAGCATCGTAACAACTCATGCTTAGCAAATAATGTGCTTAAGCCCACTTTACTACAAAAGTAGTTAGGATAAAATGATTCGGGTTTTTTGAGTTTCTATGTTTTACTAGACGTAGTCGGCAAGCAAGCAAGCACAGACAGCCCTAAAAACCTATTTTCTGGAAATCGACATCACAGCGAGATCGCGATGGGAAGCACGGATATACAAGGACGACTAATTACGGTGAGTTGATTACAGACGCCTAAATGTAAACATAATTTTTTTGTTTGAGAAACATAATATATTGAACCCTCTCGATTTGATTCGATTGCAGCTGAGGATTCAGAGAATGAGAATGGGTTTAGACCCTTTCCATCCAAATTTGCGCAAGTTGATGGAGATTCCGAATCAAGAATCATCATCGGATTCGGATGGTGGAAAAAATCAAGAGTTTTGCTATAATCGAAATCCAATTTCAGCTCCGGTGAGTTGATTTCATATACCATTGTATGTATGTATGTATGTATGTATGTATGTATCATTCTAGTTTTGGTCGGAAGAAATAAAAATAAATTTTGACATTGCAGCGCAAGATTGAGATTATGGATGAAGATTCTTCTTCTGAAGAGGATGAAGATTCTTCTGATGAGTCTATTAATGGACCAGAAATTCCGGAAGAAACTAGCAAACTGTTTATCACTATCAGCCTATCAGGGATTGGAGTCGTGCCTCGGTAAGTTTTGTCATACAGTAATATTGTTTAAAATATGAATCTTTGCTTCTTCTGATATCTTTATTTGTTACTTATAGGCCAAAGACTTGTTGTTGTTTTTGGATCCGTTTCTGCCTGAAGATGGACATTTTTGTCTGTGGCTCTCTATCCAGAAGATCCTTTCCTCGAGTAAAACAAAATCTGCTTTCTTTTAGTCTAAATTTATTTGGTGACTATTTATTATTACTTGCTGAAACTGATCCATTGCTCTGTTCTTGTTCTGTTTCAGGGGTTATCATGCAGTTGCTAAATGTGATTCAAGTGCTACTGCAGATTACTTGTTGAACAAGTCTCGTCATGGAATTGAGGCTGAGTTTGAGAGACGCTCAAACAAGCTCCTCGACTTTATGTTTACTCCGGATGATTTGGAATTCATTCAATCTCCTTGTGATGTTGCAACACACGAACCTGATCCTCTGGTGCAAGGAGTGCAACGTATGCAAATCAATCAGAGCTCTGAAGCAAAAGGAAGAGATCCTAAACAAGACTTGTTGAACACTTAGCCAGATTCTCATACAATCAATCAGAAAGGATAAGGGTAATACAGTGTAGCCACAGAAGAATGAGCTCAAACCACTCTAGCATAAGAACAACTCATGTTTCCTTTATGTGTCCACGACCACACCTTATAGACATTCTCGAAGTTTTGTCAATCTTTCATAGCCATATTAACTAACGGCTGTTTTTAATCTATTAGACAAATTAATATCTCGACAGAAGTTGTGGATTGAAGCTAGAGTTGATTACATCATTGTGGAGGTGTGTCTATGTTTTATCTTATACACCCATATTTTAATAGCACATGATTTAATAGTATAATCACCACTGTTATTGTCTTATTGAATACCCACGAGTACCTTTCCTATAACTAGATTCATACCAAAGCAAAATCAATAATAAGTTATTAAGTAGGACTGTAGGAGCTTCCACGAGATATTTTGTTTTCCATGCAAATATATTGTTTAATCTCTTTTGATAATGACTACCTAATAATCAATTGCGTAATCGTAGAATAGTTTATGTTGGAAAAGTCTTGGTCGCTGACAAAAACTCTTAAATATGTGCTATAAATTAATATTATATATGTCATGCATACGTGCAAAGACACATAAGATTAAATATAACAATTCACTTGAGAAACACCAAAGTGAAGTAGTTTAATTGTACAATATGGTCACGTCGATTAAAAAATATACGTCATTTACGTGTTCATTTACATATGAAGAACATATATATTACCAGTGGGGAAATTGAGGAAAAATTAACAATATAATATGAATACAATATATCTATAGATTAATGACACGACATATAGTAGATTACTTGTGTAATAGTACGTATCATTTTTTTCTTTCTAAAACCTGTAGTTTATAAGTTTTTTTTATTAATATTGTTGTTGCATCAATCTGCATAATGCATGTATTGTTAAAAAGGTTCAGTACATACTGATTTAGTAATTTGCATTTGGTAAGTTTTTTCTTGTTAACAAGCTGTCAGTTCGAAAAGAGTCATGATCAGATTTGGTGAGAGTTTCTTTAACAACAATAAAAAAGTTCTGGTGAGATTTTTCTTATTTCATCTATGGTCCAATATTTTTGGAAAAGACAATGGATTTTCAAAACTCACTCCATCGAATAGAAAGGAGTCTTCGATTTGAATTTTCCTTTATCTTTTCTTATGCTATTTTTTTCTTAAACAAGAAATAATAAACTTTTCTCAGAGTAATTTATTTTTTGATAAGAGTAAAATATATAAATTATTGTTTAATGGGAACATGTCTCTGAGTCACAAGTTTCTGTTTACATTACCATAGGATTGTGATACTGATGTATCTATCAAGCATTCTTGTTGTATCAAACTGCCAATAAAGCTAATAGAACTGTTTTGGGTTATTTTGATTAAGCTTGGTTAACTGAAAAAACAGGTAATATACTGAAAGGATTGCGTACAATAACATATATTAAAGTGATCAGTTGAGTCAAGTCATTTTCTTCTTTATTTCACTCGGTTTGAAGTTAAAATATAATACTTACAAAACCATGTAAGAAAAAATAATTGTATTATGCAAAATTTTCTTAGAGTTGCAATAGTAACGTCTGTACTGCCCATGTTGGGCTTATCATGAAATGACATAAAAATGTGGTTGAAACAAGGGTTTACTACACAACGTCTTCCGTGTTATATAACAATATGTCGATCGAAAAAGTATCACCACTCACTAAGTACTTTTCTCATAGTCATAGCTACTTAAGAAAATAAATTTAAGTCATAATTACAACTGTATGAGTTGTTCTTTTAACTTGATATGTTCAATCAGATTCTTTCATCCGTTACGTCTTTTATTTTTTTAAACAAAAATCAGGTTAGATTGATCTTTGTTACCGATCCAATGATCTTTACAATTTACTGGAATTTGTTAAAACATTACGTACAAAACTTACTAATGATGATAACATATGTATAGTTCGATCGAGAGACCTTCTCTTTTTTTGTTAAAATGGGTTGACCTCATGATCCTTATTCCTTATCATTCAGTGATTCAAACAAGAATTCCATTTCATTTTTTCAGAAACATTTGTTAGCACTCAAATCATACATATTAAACTCATAGTTTATATATGGGAAAATATATTTTTGAAGTGTTTACATTGAGGGACCAAAAAGACCGGTCCCCGAAGCAATAATTAGGAAACAACTTTAGTTAAGGGGCAAACATATATACCACTTCTCTCTGTTCCATTCTAGCATATACTGTAATAAATAAATTAATAATTAAATAAGTATATATGTGTTGATATATATGTAAAGTTTGGACCACACTACGAACATGTCTGCAAGAATGTAAAGAAGAAAGAGTGAGATGATGAGTACTGTGAAGCAGTGTGCTAGTTTCAAGTTTCAAGAACACTTATAAGCCCTAAAAGCTCAAAACCGCGTACTGTTTCAGACTTTTTCATATCTCTCAGATTTTTCCCTTTTTCCATACTTATGATCTCATTGTTTTTTTCTTCTTGTATTCTTTTAACGGTTATGATTGATTTGTTTTATTTTATGTATCTCCTTAAGCTATCATGGATGCTCCTTTTCTATGTTAGAAACATTCAAGTCCCTTCTCTATCAAAATATAAAAATAAACCCATTTGAATTTCTTCATAGTAAATATCTATCTGCATGCATGTACACTTATAAATGTTTTGATCCATGGTAAAGCAATATATTACTACTTTATAATCAAATTTTATTCTAATCGTAGTATTTTGTTTACACAAACACTACGACATGAGGTCAACCATTTTTAACAAAAAAAAAGTGTTGAGTCTTCAATGATAACAAGAAAATAAGAAAAATATTAGCTTGGAGGAAAAGAAAGTGCGAGTCTGCTAACGTGCGCAGTGCATCACAGAGCTGGTACTTTGGTCAATCTAACAAAGCGTCTGAATGATGACGTCATGTGTAAGTAAGGGTAATTTCGGTATACCAAGATATTGGAAAAGAAAAAGATTCTTTGTGAAATTTGGTATGAAACGGCGGAAAGAGCTTCCGTTTCGGTTGGACCACTTCCTTTTATATGTAATAATCCCGGGACTTTCTTACAAGCCCACCCCCATACAAAGGCGCGTGTCTGTCACGAGTTAAATCATCATCTTAAACAACTCTAGCATTACTTTTTGAGAATAACAACTCTAGCATTACATAAAAACAATCGCGAGTTCATTGTTTTTGGGTTACAAACTCGTCTTACTAAAAAGTTGTGATGTAATCATTATAATATTGCATTTGCATGTAAGGTCTACATATTAATTGTCACCTTTGCTATTGATGTCGTCAGTTATAAATTCATAGTAAAATGTTGAGTTTTTCTGTAATTAGTTTAGATATCACTTTTTGGACGTAGTTACTACTATCAGTTTATAATGTTTTATTGTTTCATATTAATTTATCTCATAGGAAGTCGATTTCTAGATGTTTGATTTATTGAGTTGTTTTCTTAGGAATTGGTGCGTGTATGAGGAGGATATATCTAGTTCTTTTACATGTGTATGTGTATAAGAATTGGAGAAAAAATGGTCCCAAGAAGAGGAAATAAATGCATTTTTTGTTGAAATTAGTATAAAAAAGAAAGAAATATAGAAAAGAAGAAGAAGAAAAAAAGAAAATGGAGGACCACTTAATCACCTCTCATGCACAGTCCCTTAGTTTGGGAACAATTCTTGACAAGAATTATAAGTATCCCAACTTCTGAAACTATTAATTTGGTATTATGCAAAACCACAAAGCTTTGGTTAGTCTTATCCTGTACTCTTCTCTGATAGCCTGCCTGATCTAATGATTATTATGGTTATTTACTATATATTTTAAACGTAATTACTTTATTTTCAGAGATTGTTAAAGGTTAGACGATGTAGATTGCTAGGTTACTTGGCATAAACTTGATGTATTGTATACTATAATTAAGCAAATGAAAGTGAACATTCTATCACACAAGTAACATCAATTTTTGTGACATTGTTGGTTATAAGTTATATTCAAATTTGTCATTTATAAGAAAACTCATCGGTTTATCCATCCAATGAAATAAGTAGGCTTTTTGGGTGATACTATTAATATTGTGTGGTTAAATAACTACAAACATAGTGTCGTTTTTGTCTCTTCTTTGTATCTTTTTATGTCCTCTTTTACAAGTTGGCTTGATGTTAACTAATCAAGATTATCCTACTTTAAAAGCTATATAAATTATTAATTTGTTTCCTTTTTGTTAAATATTGATAATTTGTCACTATTTCAGTGGTTTTTTCTCTAAATCACACGTGACTACTATCGCTAATTATTATATTATTATTTGCCATCAAAATGTTTATATATTTATTTATGATATGGTTAATAGTAATAGTTAAACAGAAGAGAAGTGACACTGAGACATATCTGAGAAAAGCCTGAACTCAACTTCCACTTCTGGTTTGATTTCTTGGGATTCGTCCTCCCTCATTAAGTTACCCTCCATCTATACACGAATATATATCGGATATATATATATACAATTATATGTAGAATATTATTTTCTTTCAAATTAGAACACTATCGTCAATGGTCTAGTATTGTTTATGAGACGTTATGCTTCGTGAAAATGTTTAAAAGGTAGCTGCAATGATATTTAATTACAAGGCTGCTTACACAAGCAAACCAAACTATAATTAACAACGTAACACCAAAAACTGATACCATTGAATATACTGTATTAAACTAATTGTGTTACATATGTGATATGTATAGTCCTATACACCACCATGTTACACGTATAAGTCTAGCAACATAAAATAAAATACTAAATACGTATGTGAACATTTAAATAGTAAATTTACCATCAAATCAACGTAGAGATATGTCATATGACGGTTTGTAGCTAGTTTGTGTACCCGGCAATGGTTCTCTACTTTCAAAACCTTATGAGTATAGTTTAAACACTCGACCAATGTACGTATAGGCTAATGCGTGTGTGTCTGCGCGTGTGCCGCAGTGTGTGTATAGGTCACACATATAGTTTTTGGATTTTCTTGTAATTTAACTTAGAAATTATTAGGTTCATAATTGAAGAAAGAAAATTAAACAAAGAATAGAGGGAGACACCTGTAGTATTTTCATGGTCAGACTAACGACGTCAAAGACGAAGAAAAAGAAAAACACCCTTAGTTTCATTAAGACTTACGTTTCAAAAAATACAAATCTATTACCAAAATACAAAAATGAACCAAAAATAATGTGTATAGCTGAAGAAAATTATATGGGGGAAAAAATGAAGAAATTATACTAAACTTTTATACAATTTGAAAGTAGTGAAGCCTTTTTGACCCACTTGTGGTGTAAGAGAGAGAGACTGAACATTGATTGCTAGCTATAGAGTCTAAAGGGAGGGTCATGATCACCTATCTTCTGATCTCTGAAGAGATACCCATCTGATATTTTCTCTTCCTAGGTTTTATTTTTATTTATTTATTTTACCATTTTATAATGAATTATTTATTTTGCCTGTAGTACAAATTACAGACCCATACCAAAACAATTTTTTTTTTTTTTCAAAGTACAAAACAAGAGAGAGGTGAAGCCACACAATCTCTTTTTCCTCTCTCTCTCTCTCTGTTATATCTCTTCTGTTTAATTCTTTTATTCTCCTTCCTCTATCTTCTCCTAATCTCTTTCTTTCTCTCTCTCTCTCTTTCCATCTTCACCAAAGAAATAAGAAGAAAAAAATCATATCTTTATGCAAAACTTTCTCGTAGGGTTTTAGAGCTATCTCTATTGTTTGTGTTGTGAGACAAAAGTTTGGTTCTTTGACTCTTTCTCATGGTTTGGTAACACAGGGTCTGAGATTTTTTTTTTCTTTTTCTTTCCAAAAATTTGTTTATTGATTCTTTTCAACTTTCTTGGAGATAGGTTTCACGTAGATCTTGATGAAACTCTTGTTTGTATCCCAAAAGGAGTTTCTTTTTTTCTTCTCTTCTTTTTGGGTTTTCCATTCTTGAGACGATCGACATGGCAAGAGATCAGTTCTATGGTCATAACCATCATCAACAAGAACAGCATCAAATGATTAATCAGATCCAAGGGTTTGATGAGACAAACCAAAACTCCAACGATCATCATCAACAACATCATTATAATCATCAGATCTTTGGCTCAAACTCCAACATGGGGATGATGATAGACTTCTCCAAGCAACATCAGATTAGGATGACAAGTGGGATGGATCATCATCATCATCATCAAACAAGTGGTACTACTGATCAGAATCAGCTTCTAGAAGATTCTTCATCCTCCATGAGACTATGCAATGATAATAATAATTACCAGAGTGAAGTAAATGATGAGAGAGCACCACCAAGACCAAGCCAAGGTCTCTCGCTTTCTCTCTCCTCCTCAAATCCTACAAGCATCAGTCTTCAATCCTTCGATCTCAGACCCCAACAACAACAACAACAAGGGTACTCCGGTAAATCAACACATCATCAGAACCTCCAACACAGCCAGATGATGATGATGATGATGAATAGTCACCACCAAAACAATAACAACCATATTCAGAATCAGAATCATCATCATCAGTTTCAGATTGGGAGTTCCAAGTATTTGAGTCCAGCTCAAGAGCTACTGAGAGAGTTTTGCAGTCTTGGAGTAAAAGAAAGCGATGATGAAGTGATGATGATGAAGCATACGAGGAAGCAGAAAGGCAAACAACAAGAAGAGTGGGACACAAGTAATAACAACAACAACGATCAACATCATGATCAGTCTGCAACTACTTCTTCAAAGAAACATTTTCCACCACTTCACTCTCTTGAGTTCATGGAACTTCAGAAAAGAAAAGCCAAATTACTCTCCATGCTTGAAGAGGTATATATTCTCTCTAATTTCATTAAAAAATCCATGTTTTTTAAAAGTTATTTTCGTATATATACATTTGGTTTCAGCCTATTCCTAAAAATGTAAAATACTCACAAATCTTACATATCAAAACAATTCATGGGTTTGTTAAAAATCTAATCTTTTGCTATTTGTTTCAACTTATTCCTAAAAATATAAAATACCCACAAAACTTGTATTTTTCCGATTCTTAATTAAGGTCCATATATTTCTTTAAGATGCAAATGTCTTTTATAAACAAGATAAAAAGATTCCTTTTTGTCCTCATTCTTTCATGTATTCTCTTCGAAAACAAGTTCGATCGTAACACTACGGAAAGATTAACCCTTTTAATTCCTTTACGCATTATTTCCTTTATATATAGAACCAAAATCAAAATTATTTTCTTTGCTTTTGATCTAATATGGCGACTCTAGTGGTCCTCGATATTAATAGCAATCAATTTCATCATCATAAGCCATAACGAGTTGTTTCTTTTTCATGAATGCTCATTCTATGAATCTACATGTATACGATGTACGTGACTGAAAAAAAAAAAACTTGCGTTTTCGATGACAGCTTAGAAGAAGATATGGACATTACCGAGAGCAAATGAGAATTGCGGCGACAGCGTTTGAGGCGGCGGTTGGACTGGGAGCGGCTGAGATGTACACTGCGTTAGCGTCGAGGGCAATGTCTAGGCATTTCCGGTGTTTGAAAGACGGACTTGTAGGACAGATTCAAGCAACGAGTCAAGCTTTGGGAGAACGAGAAGAGGATAATCGTGCGGTCTCAATTGCCGCACGTGGTGAGACTCCACGGTTAAGATTGCTCGATCAAGCATTGCGGCAACAGAAATCGTACCGCCAAATGAGTCTCGTGGAGGCTCATCCTTGGCGTCCACAACGCGGTTTGCCTGAACGCGCGGTCACGACGTTGAGAGCTTGGCTCTTTGAACACTTTCTTCACCCGTAAGTTACTAACTTCATTACACAACCTCTAACTTAATATTTATGCATTAAGCCATTAACTATAAGTATATATTTATTCAGTGAAAAAGTACAAATTATTCAAGTTTTACCATGCATAATCAAATAATGACTAGTTAAGTTCCTCTTAATTTAACTAATGATTGTGTAATCGTAAGAGCTATAAAATAAGTCAACATAAGCTCCATATAAGTAGATAGTCATTAGTCAACATAAGCTAATTTGAAAGTTTTAACTGGAATGGCATAAATTAAAATAAAGCACTGATAATAGTATATATGGTTATAAAGGTTTTGTTTTTACCTGAATATATGTGAACATAGAAAAAGATATATACATTTTTACATAGAGAGATTGAGATTGACTTGACAAGCTGAGGATCCAATCTTCCTTAATCTGTTAATTGCATAAAGCTTTTTCATTTTGCCTTTTTCTTTCACTTGCATCATTGGTGTGAAAGTGAGTGTACAAACATATACATACATGTATATATGTCTACATATTTAGATAATGTGTGATAAATAAAATAAAAACAAATTATATAACTGGTGGATGAAAGACAGAAATAGAGAAAGGTACAAAGTGGATTCAGAGAGAGAATCAATGTTCTTTACCTAACACTAACAAAAGAGAGAAACAATGCATAACTCCTTGCTTTTTTTTTTCTCCATGTTTTTATTTTGGACTTTTCTCCTTTTTTCTTTATTTTTATATATTTAATTTATATTTCGTAAATTATATATTTATCATATGCAAGACTTGTCTCCATCAAATTCCCAAACACTGATCAAACAATGAAACATCTTGTTAGTTTTCACCAAACCTTTTACCTTTGCTTCCACTTCTTTGCATCATTCTTCAATCATTTATATCCATTTTTTAAAATGAAAATATCATTAATTTTCACAAGACAAATCATTTCCCTAACGTAATTTTTCTTATTCTTTTATTTCATTCAGATATCCAAGCGATGTTGATAAACATATATTGGCCCGACAAACTGGTTTATCAAGAAGTCAGGTAACCAATAGGTTCACTAATTTTGCTATACTCCAAAATATCTATTTAGCTTTAGTTTAATCGAGTTATATACAACCAAACTGTTAGGTATCGAACTGGTTCATCAATGCAAGAGTTAGGCTATGGAAACCAATGATTGAAGAAATGTATTGTGAAGAAACAAGAGGAGAACAAATGGAGATTACAAACCCAATGTTCATCGAGACTAAACCGGACCCGAGCCAGATAATTCGTGTCGAACCGGAATCTTTGTCTTCCATAGTCACAAAAACCGGCATCAAAGACAACTCGAACCAGGGAACGGCGTCGTTCGGGTCAACGTTTGACTTTTCACTATACGGTAACCAAGCTGTGACATACGCCGGTGAAGGAGGGACAAGAGACGTGTCGTTGACGCTTGGGTTACAGAACGGCGGTGTGAGTTTAGCTTTATCTCCAGTGACGGCTCAAGGGGGCCCACTTTACTACGGTAGGGACCACATGGAAGGATCGGTGATGTTGGACGGTGATCAAGCTCAGAATTTGCCTTACAGGAATTTGATGGGAGCTCAATTACTTCACGATATGGTTTGAAGGAAAATTTAAAAATTAGGATTCGATACTCTATTATAAACCGATTCGGTTATGTAACGGTTTAGTTAGACAAGAAAACCAAAATTAGATATTTTTAAAATTTTACTCTTGTCTTATTGAATTGGGGATTGGTGGAGGAGAAGGAGATATAATGTCATACGAGTTAGTTGGTTCGTCAATGTCACTTCTTCGATATTTTTTTCCTATCTAGAAAGAAATATAATATTCGATTTGAAGGTCTTTTTCTCACTCTCAATACTTTTGTTATTGGTATAGTAAATCAAGTATTATTTTCCTAAAACTAAATTATATGTATCACTAAATCATTTCGGATTTCAAAAGCCATTCGGAATTCAGTGGCTAATCTAGAAAACTTTTTAACTGGGTTCAAAAATACTTTAAGGGGAGTCAAACCTGGGTTATAAGGTGTCAATAGGTAACTTTAACCATTTTTCTAGTGAACTTTTGATGTTTTACGTACAAAATTTGTTTTTATAACAAATGATAGGGTGTCAACTGACCCGTATCCACTAACGTGGATTCGCCACTGATTCGGATACTATTTCTTGTAGTAAAAACTAAAAAGTATGGTTTTAAATTCTATAATCTTATATATAATTAGGGAGTTGCTCTCTCCATCTAGAGTGTCCACATCAGCACAAAACATTAAATTGTATTTAAAATATTTATTAAATATATGACTATTCATATTTCTTTACATTTATTCATATTTAATAAAAATATACAAATAAATTAATTAATTAATAGAAAGTATGTGATAATTTGATGTTAAAAGTTATCAAAAAGTTGGAATATAAAATAGAGATGGAGTAAAGAAATATTTAACTTCAAATAGTATATATTTACCTTTTTATTCAAAGGATTATCCTATTTAAAAATGTTATAATGTGTTTACAAGTTAAAAAGTTGAATATAAATTAATTAAGATAATAGAAAGCTAATGAAAAATTAGAGTTAGAGTTTGTTTTTCTAAACAAATAGAAATGGAGTTTTATATGTAAATTTAATTGTAGTGAAAAACAAGAATATGTTTACAAATTTTAACCTTCAGTCAAATGGTCAAATGCATATACATATTTATAAATTTTAACCTTCAATCAAATACATATACATGTTTACAGTCTAATAGAAGTAAAAAAAAAAGTAAACAAACATAATATTTATAACATGATAAAATTTTAGAAATAGAAAAATCGAGATAAAGCGGGGTGTTAATATCCTAATAAATTAAAATAAATAAAAAACAAATTATTCATATTTTTTAGTGTTAGTGGTTGAGTTAACTCAAAACATAAAAGTTAACACAAAACCATCATAATTCAAATCAACGAGTATAAATAAAATTAAACAGAAAAACTATCGCAAACAACCCGCGCTTGCGCGGGCTTCAAACCTAGTTTATCCAATTAGTCTTTGTAGTTTCAGAAATATACTTAACCCCTCTTTTGTGACGACTGATATTCATATGCTTAACCCTTAAACAAACAAACAAAAATAGAAAAAGCTATTTTTATCGATTGTCCATTGGTTTAGAAAACAATTAGCATGAAATTAGGTCCCGTGGAAAACGTCAATGATAGTAACTAACACCGGCTATAATCTCTACACACACGCAATTCAAAATTTCCTCATAGACCTTTCTTTTAGTATTCTCTTTGCATATTTTCAACAATGGCCAAGCTCACCGTTACCGTCACCGTCCTCTTGTTCACGTTGGCTCTCTCCGTCGTGTCCTCCAAGCCGGAAACCGAGATCATCAACGATAACCTTAACACTTTATCAGCTGAACTCGACTCAGTTACCACAAACCCAACCCTTCCCGGACCCGAGTTAACTTCTTCCGATGAGGTCACTATACCGGTGAACTTTATGAATTTCCACACGATTAATCGTCATTTCCCTAGACGTCCTTTAATGACATCTCCTTTTCACCATCACCACCGTCCATGCCACCACCATCACCGGCACGAGCTGTTTGGACGAGGCATCCAGATCTCTTACGGCAACGACATGATCTTCTCCAGCGAAGAAAAGACGACAAGTACAGAACGTTCGTCAGACGTTGATATCCCGGCGGTCACCATGTTAGTCGACCCTTTCGCTTCGGAGATGACAAAACCCAGTCCCGGTGAGGTCGAGGCGGAAGAGGAAGATGGCTCCATGAAGATCATTGTGAAATTTATAAAGCGCAAAGAAGAAGGAGAAGATGATAAAGAGAAGTACAAGGGTTTGTTCAGGAGAAAGATTCGCAAGTTTCTCAACCATTTGGTCTGAAGAAGAAGACTCTATAGTTTGTGTTAGAGAAATTAAGATAACGAATAATAAAGCCTTCTTATTATCTATGGCTCTTCCATATTATTTGAAAAATGATGGAAGCTATGTAATAAATTCAGTAGAAGATGTGATTATATTTTGTAAAAACTTACTTTCACAATTCGATTATATTAGATTGATTGCAGAAATATGAAAGATGAAACAAACAATAACTTACATTACACTACATGTCGTCTCTGAGCATTTGGAGAGTTATTACGATTGGTTTTCGCAGAAACCACCTTGTTGGGCCGTTGAGGACAGCTCAGGGCAAGCCGTGGGGTCGACTTTCACGGCGGCGCCAACTATATCTGAGCATTTCCATACCGGAGAGCTTTTTGTTCCGGTGAGTGTCACATTGGAGAGGCAGAGACTGGTGAAAGGTGAATCTTTCAATCCTTGAAACGTGCCAGCGCGCTCGACCTTGATTCCCCAGACGTTCTTGATCGTTATACCGCTTACGACAGGAAGAGCGGACGTGTTGAAGTGATCGTCAGGGTGGTCTCCGGTGTCGCCGGAGATCTTAATCCCGGTGCGAACTTTTTCCAAGTGAACCCCTGAGATTGTGATCCCCTGAATGCTTCCTCCTCTGCCAATGTTTGTCTTGATGTGGATTCCGATCCCGGAACTGTACAAAGTGATGTTCTCGACCGTGACATTGTGGATCCCGCCAGAGGTTTCGCTTCCGATGGCTATTCCGGCGAATGGGGAAGATCCGGTGATGCGGCGGATGGTGATGTCACAGCTTGGACGGTTGTAGGCAATGCCATACTCGTCCCAACCGCTCTTCACTGCAACAAGATCGTCACCAGTGGATATGTAGGAGTCTTCTATACACACGTTAGAGCTTGAATCTGTGGCAAAATGAGTCAATAACACACAGAGACAAGTCATGGTTTTATGAAACGTAACAGAACGTAATCAAGCGTGAGGGAAATTGAGCTGAACCTGCATCAATTCCATCTGTGTTTGGGGAATCAGTTGGAGCCAAGATGGTAACATGATGAACAACAACATCACTATAAGAAAACAAGGCTAAAGCTAATTACTAATGAATATTAAGTAACAAATTCAGTGCAGATTTCAAGTTCTTGAGAGAAGAGATTGTTAAAAAAAACCTGCAATAAACAGGATGAAGTGTCCAGAAAGGTGAGTTCTGAAGAACAACGTGAGAGACGATGATGTTACTCGAGTTCTTGAATTCGATGAGACCTGGTCTTGTGAACTTTAGAGTGCCATGTCTCCACATGTTCCACCAAGGCTCTCCAGAACCATCAATCGTCCCATTTCTGCCTAGGGAACACAAAAATGGATTCTCATTTTCAGGAAACAAGACAATCCAATCTTGCTTGGAGAGGATACATTTCAAGCTGAATACAAAGTGATCTCTGAACAATACCTGTAATGACAACGTCACTAAGTCCGTCTCCATGGATAAAGCTAATGTACCTTCTTCCAGGACGCTCTCTTCCTCTGCCGTAAGAGGGCAAAGGATCAACCAAAGGCCATTTCTCTGTATCCTGAATCATTAATCAATCAAACAAGCATTTGCTTTTTAAGGCATTCCAAATGCAATCACAAACCTCAATGTACAATTATTTGAATCAAAACCTTAATCGTTAAATTTCTTCTACAAACATAAATCCCCAAATGCAATCACAGTCTCACTCACTGTTCAAAATCAGTATCATAGAGAAGCTCTATAATCAGAGAACAAACAATACCTAAACCCATAATTTCGATCTAAACCACCTTAATTACTGAATCAAGCAGCTCGAGAGGTTAGGTTAATTGATTTCTAAATTTGGTGTAATCATCACCTGAACGGCTTTGATAACAGCACCCTCGGCGAGGTACAGAGTCATGTGGCTCGTGAGATTGAAGCTCTCAGTCAAATACACACCGCGAGGCACGTACAGAAGCGTTCCTTCGCTGCTACTGTTGCCGTTTCGTATCCGATCAATCGCCGAATTAAACGCATTGGTGTTCAAGGTCGTGCCGTCACCGACGCCGCCGAAGTCCGAAATCGATAACATCCCGCTCCTGGGCTTCGTCGGAACTATCCCAGAGCAAGTGATCGGATCTCCTCCAAGCGAGAGATGGTGAGGAAAAACAGCAGAGAGCATGAACAATACGAAAAAAGAGATCGGAGGTCGCGAAACTCTCATGGCTGGTTCTACTACGAGACTTGAGCTTTCGGTAGAGTTAAGAAAGAGAGAGTCTCTGGAAAAAGTTTCTCCGTCGCCGGAGAAATATGATTACAGTGGGGATCTAGAGAAAGGCAAAATTGCCGATGAGTAAATGTTAAATAGTAATGACAAGAAAGTAAGCCAAAACTCAAAAGCAAAATCACATGACACCTTAATTTACGGTTTTGACCTCTTTTTGTTATTTGTTTTCAATTTTAAATTGATAGTATATTATTTTCGTTCTTATGCATTTGATATTTTTTCTTTACAGGTTGGAGTCATTTTATTTGACTATTATTTCAATATATTTATGAATTATTTGTATTCATGAATATCAGTTTTTACAATACTCATCACAAATATCATTGTTATGCTAGCAAAATTTTATGTTTGGCGATCTAAGTAAGCAACCAGCTTTGCTTAAATGTTTGTATATATATTTTTTTCTTCTTTTTGCTGCTTTGTATTTTATGAA